AGGGCCAGGCATGTTCAACACGAAGGCTCCGTCTTCCCTTTTCTTTGTCTACCACATGTACAGAAAGGAACAGATAACATGGGGCTGGCCAGGTTAGAAATACTACTGATTTTTGTATGTTAACTGTGTATCCTGCTACTTTACTGAGTTCATTTAGCAATTCTAACAGTTTTTGGTGTAATTGTAAGTTTTCTCTAAATATAAGATCATGTCATCTGCAAACAAGGACAATTTGACTTTTTTTTTTTTTCTCATTTGGATGTCCCTTATTTCCTTCTCTTGTCTAATTGCTTGGGCTAGAACTTCCATCACTGCATTGAATAAAAGTGATGACAGTGAAAATCCTTGTCTAATACCAGATCTTAGAGGAAAGGCTGGATGTTAACTGTAGAGTTGTCATATATGACCTTTATTGTTTGAGGTGTGTTCCTTCTATACCCCATTTGTTAAGAGTTTATCATGAAAAGATAATGAAAGTATGTTAAGTGAAATAAGCCAGGTACAAAAAGATAAATATTGCATGTTTTCACTCATATGGGAACTAACTAAGTTTATCTCATGGGTATAAAGAGTAGAATGGTGGTTAGCAGAGATTAGTAAAGGTAGGGGGGAGGTTGGGGAATAAAGAGAGGTTGGTTAATGGAGAACAAAACTACATTTCAATAGAAGGACTAAGTTCTTGTGTTCAATAGCACAGTAGGCTATAATTTTTGTATCTCAAAATAGCTAAAAAAAAAAAAAAAAAAAGATTTGTCATGTTCCCAATACAAAAAAAAAATTGATAAAATTCCGAAGTGATGAATATCCCAATACCTGGATTTGATCATTATGTATTATATGCATGTGTCAAAATATCACATGTACCCCATAAAATATCATATGTACAATTATTATGTATACATTAAAAATGTACATTGAAGAGACATAGTGATAAGTGGTTTTTACTTCAGTTCAATTTATATTTCAGATTAAAGGTTATTTGGAGAGTAGTTCAGAATGTAGTTCAAGAAACTTTCAGCTCAGACCTGCTAAAAACCCAGTCGTGAGCACAAAGAAAGGAACTCCACGCCCTCCTATTGTCCTCCTGGCTGGGGCAGTGAGAAAGGGTCAAAAGGGCTTGGGGTCTGATGGATACAGTGCCCGGATGGATAGAGTACCCTGATGGATACCCTAACCCCTTCCATGAGGCAGAGTTGTTGCTGGGAAAGGTTGAGCCCTAGGGACTGTTCTGCCTGTCGTCTTGAGTCCAGGTGCTGCGGAGGGAATGCTCAACTCAACGGATTGTGAGCAGGGTGTTGCCGGTCACTTCCAGGAGGGGAGAGTGGAGATGCCTGGGCTAGAGTGGAGTGAGCTGTGTAGAGGCCTAGGGGAACTACTGGAGAGGCTTTCATATCTTCACTGGGGTGGGGGGTAGTTACATGGGCAAGTTTGCTGATACTCATCAGTCTGCACACATACATTTTATTGGATGTATATCCTGCATAATATATAATTTTGTGTACAATTTGATTCTAAAAAAACAAACATGGGCAAAAGAGCTTTACAAATTAGAAAGTATTGCGGAAAGACAAGGGCGTTATTTGTCATTAGTCCAACCATACGGTGTGAGTGTAGAATTCTGCGGAGTTTCTTAGATATGGGAGCTTATCCTAGAGCCCAGGCTGGGCCTAAGGAAGAGTTGTCGGTAAGGGGCTTCAGCTTCGGGGCAAAGTATGAGACCTGGCTCAGGCACCAGAGGACAGGAGTCTAGAGTTAAGCATGAACAACCACGAGAAATAAAAGGGTTAGTGGCACTTTGCTCAATTCCCGGCTCCGGATAACGAAGTGGGAGCCAGTAATGCATGGACATACATCCATAGGGCACTAGTTTATCCTCCATTAATAGGATGAAAAGCATCTACCCCTGGGCAGGTACCCACGATTTCTGTTTCAGCTTCTTGCTGCCCTTTCTGCTGTCTTTCCACCTTCATCCTGCAGTCCAGGCAAGCTTCCCAGAATGGAAACCTAATCCCACTCTCACTCTCTCACTTACTATACACTGACTCCCCATGGCCCTCAGTCTGAAGCCAGAGTCATCTACGGTGTTGTGGAGACCTCTGGGATCTGATCCTGCTTGCCCTTCAGGCAGCCTCCCATGTGACCCTTTGCTGTTACCCAAATATGGCACTGCTTCCTCACATCAGCCTTGAGCACTGGGGCTTCCAGAACAGGTCAGCTGCTAGTGCAGACCATGTAGATAAGAGGCAGAGAAGCCCCCACTGCAGTCTGTGAGGCCATGGTGTCAGCAGCCATGGAGGGCCTAGGAAGGGTGAGTGAAGTGGATAGGAGATTCTGAGACTGAAACAGAAGCAGCTATAACCTTAGTGAGGTTGGCACAGTCCGAGGGAGCTGAGCTGGGACAATTCCTTCTACATCAGCATTTCTTGTGGCCTCTACTCTTCCTAGTGTGCTTAGAGAGCAACTTCCAGACTACAGTCTTCTGCTGTTAACATTTACTCCTTGCCAAGCTCTGTGCTAAGCTTCACAGGGAGATCTATGTTTACAGATCTCACAACCCCATGTAGCAGACCTTAGCACTATCCCCATTACACAGGTGGGGACATGAAGGCCCAGAGAGGAAAAGTCTCTTGCTCAGGGTTCCAGGGCCGGAATTATGAGCGTAAGTGATGGATGCCACTGCCAGCCCTGGCCCCTAGGCCATTCTGCACAGCTCTCTGGGCTCTCTCTCTCTCTCTCTCTTTTTAATTGTCAGCCAGCTGCAGACAGAGCACTTAACTGAGAGTCCAGTAAGTCATGGGGGATGGTGGAACCATGGGATAAAAGTAGCGTGACACCTGGTGGGGCGCGGTGGCTCACACCTGTAATCCCAGCACTTTGGGAGGCCAAGACAGGTGGATCACTTGAGGTCAGGAGTTCAAGACCAGCCTGGCCAATATGGTGAAACCCCATCTCTACTAAAAATAAAAAATTAGCCATGCGTGGTGGCATGCACCTGTAATCCCAGCTACTTGGAAGGCTAAGGCAGGAGAATCACTTGAACTCAGGAGGCAGAGGTTGCAGTGAGCTGAGACCGTGCCACTGCACTACAGCCTGGGTGACAGAGAGAGACTCTGTCTCAAAAAAAAAAAAAAAAAAAAAGGAAGCATGAGAAGCATGATACCTTCCTTAGACTTGGAGAACAGCTGTCCCAGACAGATGCCCAACCAGGAGCATCTATATGGAGTTTAAGTTGCTGAGAAATAAAGTCACATTGTGTGATTTGTTTTTTTTTTTAACTAAGGTATGGTATGTTTGTTATAGCAGCATAACCTAGACTATTATATTAAGAAGTATGGCCAGGCACGGTGGCTCATGCCTATAATCCCAGCACTTTGTGAGGCAGGCGGATCCCTGGGTCAGGAGTTTGAGACCAGCCTGGCCAACATGTTGAAACCCTATCTCTACTTAAAAAAAAATACAAAAATTAATTAGCTGGGCATGGTGGTGTGTGCCTCTAATCCCAACTACTCAGGAGGCTGAGGCAGGAGAATTGCCTGAACCCAGGAGACAGAGGTAGCAGTGAGCCAAGATCACACCACTGCACTCCAGCCTGGGCAACAGAGCAAACTCCAGCTCAAAAAAAAAAAAAGTAATAGCAACTTTACAACGGAGAAACCTGAAAGACTAACCCTAACCTTAACAACACCTATAATATGACACACTGACATCATGCATCTCCTGATAAAATGCACTGAGGCAGGCACATCATTGCTGTAGTTTTCTTGCCACAAATGCATAACCTCAATCTGATCATAAGAAAACTTCAGACGAGTTCAGATTGGGAAACATTCTACAAAATGATTGGACAATACTCTTAATTATCGAGGTCTTGGTAGATTCCAGAACTGTTACAGTTTGAAGGAGACTGAGGGGACATAACAATTAAATGCAAAGAATTGGATTCTGGACTAGGGAAAAAAAGGACATTCATAAAAATTGGTGAAATGCAAATGAGCTCTGTTCCTTAACAATATTGTTTCAATGTACATTTCCTGCTTTCAATAACTGTATTGTGATTCTCTAAAATGTGAATGTGAGGAGAAGCTGCCTGAAGGAGATAGTGGAACTCTCTGTACCAATTTTTGCAACTTTTCAGTAAGTCTAAAATTACAGTTCAAAATAACAAGCTGAAATAAGTAAGAGTGCATGTGCCGATGGGTTGCCATCACATGACCTTTAGGTGGCTTTGTCCTTGACGCACTGTCAGCAATCCGGACTAATGTTGACCTACATCAGTTTACAAAAGGAAATTTATTATAGCAAACCCCATGTTTCCAAGTTCAGCTCAAAAGGCCCACCTTAATTACTAGACCTGGACATCTGGGTATATTCGATTGAATGGTTTTCTTGCTCCCTTGGTCTTTGATATGGAGTTAGTTACTCTGTGCTTGATTATAAGCTCTCTGAGGGCTGGACCGGGGCTCTGTAGCCACATTCCATTCTGCACAAGACTGAGAAAACTTCCTCAGCTGGGAATGCAGCCCAGCATTGCCAGCTGCCCGGTGAAGCCTAGACAGGAGGCGTATGCTGGTCTTCAGCAGCCCCTCCAAACCCTCTTTGGGCCCCATTGTGATGGGACGCTGAGGTGACATTGCTGTTTTCTTCACGCGCTGTGGACTTCTGACCGCAATCAGGACAACTGTTGAAAAGCCATATTTGGCCAATACTGAAGGAGCTTCTGTGTTGGTACTGGGCCAACACAAGGCCTTATAGGGTAGGCTGGGGACTCCTTGTGTGTGAGAGTGGGGATGGTGGCATGTCGGTCCCCAGGGTGCAGGGCTACGAGGTCAAAGGGTTGGCTTCTCAGAAGCAAGATGAGCAGGGAGCAGGGATATCATCGGATCCCAGAAACAAACGTGCACAGGTTTCAAAGGCAAGGACTCCACCTCTAGCCCAGAAGTGGGCGGTGACGCTAGAGGGCAGCTCAAATGAAGCCCAGCCCAGAATGCATCAGGACAGACTTGGGCAGTGACAGGACCAGTGCTTTAATAATGGGGTAACAAGGCAGCTGTCAGCATTACCTGGAGATGTGTGACTCCCACTTACTGGGCAGTTAAACAGGACGGGTGGTGAAAGAGCGTGGCAGCACCCCAGGGATGCTGCTTGAAGGTCAGCCCCAGGACCTCAGAGCAGCAGTCCCAGCAGAAGGAGACTGGCAAGCACCAGGAAGTTGAAGGAAGCTTTGAAGCCCATGTTATGGGAAGCAGCTGGTGTAGACATGGGCGTTAAGCTGTTTGCATCTGTACACTCGAACTTTTGAAAGATGACTTCTCCAACTGTCTTATTTTCACCAGACAGGAACGGACAGGTGGAGTTACTGACACTGGAACAGCTTTTCAGCACAAGATGCTTAGACTCAGTTTCTGTGAATGCAAAGGAGACAGTAGGGACCCCACCCAGTTCTCTGTCCTTCCACCCACGCCCGTTCTTCGTTCGTCACCTGCAGCGTGGTAGCCCAGTGACCGGCAAAAGCTAGTCTGCTCCTGAAACCCACATAGGAAGAAGGAGCCTGCGCATCCAGAGTCAAGGTCACGATGAGGTCAGAGGCCTAGACTCCCACCTACACCTAACCCTGGAGGAAGCAGACTCCTGGAGGTGAGGGGCAAGCCCAGGCTAAAAGATGAGGGTCAGCACTGGACCTGAGACTCACACCTGTGTTCCTGTGTAGCTGGCAGGTAGAGAAGCCAGGAACAGGCTCAAAAGGCAGTTCTCTGTCCTCAGTTCAGGACTTCCCTCTCCCCTTCTAGGGTTTGCTTTCAGTCCTCGCTCCTCTCTGGACCTGCGTTCTCCCTGCCTGAGTCTTCCCTGAGAAGAAGGAAAGGCCACTGAAGGGAAGTAGGAGACCAGGGCATATCTCTGCCATAAATTGGAGTTCTGCTATGTTTAATCATGTTTTGATGTTCAGGTACTAGGAAAAGGCCAAGGGCATTTGCAAAGATGTAATAATGATAGCAGCTACCATCTACTGAGCACTCACTGTGTGCCCCACCTGCTCTGTCAGCTGCAATTCGAACAGCCCTGGAAGCTGGGCCCTCAGAGGAAAGGGACTCAAGGAGGTGAAGTGACTCCACCTGCCACTTGTCAGGGGCAGAGCTGCAATTTGAGTTCAAGGCTGGCTCTGGGACCAGGGAGGGTGGCTTGCACCTGTAATCTTAGCACTTTGGGAGGCTGAGGTGAGAGGACTGCTTGCGGCCAGGAGTTTGAAACCACTGGGTAACATAGTGACAACCTGTTTCTATAGAAAATTACAAAGTTATGCAGGGCTGGTGGCATACGCCTGTAGTCCCAGTACTTGGGAGGCTGAGGTGGGAGACTGGCTTGAGCCAGGAGTTTGGGGCAGCTGTGAGCCAGCGATCACACCACTGCATTCCAGCCTAGGTGACAGAGTGAGATCCTGTCTCAAGCAACAACAAACACTGACTCTAAACTTGCTTGGAAAAGGAGTGAGAAACCTCCAAATGCTGTTTTATAGCAAGCATCAGTGCTGAATTTTTTGTTTTGTTTTGAGATGGAGTCTTGCTCTGTAGCCCAGGCTGGAGTGCAGTGGAGTGATCTTGGCTCACTGAAGCCTCTGTCTCTCAGGTTCAAGCAATTCTCCTGCCTCAGCCTCCCCAGTAGCTGGGACTACAGGCACACACCACCATGCCTGGCTAGTTTTTGTATTTTTAGTAGAGATGTGCTTTCACCATGTTGGCCAGGTTGGTCTTGAACCCCTGACCTCAAGTGATCAGCCTGCCTCAGCCTTTCAAAGAGCTGGGATTACAGGCATGAGCCCCCACACCTGGCCAGTGCTGAAGATTGATTTAGAGTGAGGTAGGAAGGTGTGTTTCATGGAACATTTGTACTGTACTAAAAGAATGATCTTGGACAAAAACAAACAAAAATACCCCTATATTTATGATAGCTTTAGTTTGTCTGGCTTTCAGCTTAAGCCGAATCCTATGAGAAAAAAGAAAATCTATCCCTTTTATCAGACCTGGAAACCAGATAAGCAGAGAGAAAATCCTTCTGATGTCATGTTGCCCTAGACACAGCTTTAGAATTAAAAATCGTAGCAGTTTAGACATCCCAGATATTTTAAAAGTGAAAGAGCTTTAAATGCATTTTACTAAGGGAAAGAAGGCATTTTGAAAATGCTACATAATGTATGATTTCAACTCTAGTATAGTGTGGAAAAGGCAAAACTGTGGAGGCAGTAAAAATATCAGTGGTTGGCCAGGGGCAGTAGTTCATGCCTGTAATCCCAACACTTTGGGAGGCTGAGGTGGGCAAATCACGAGGTCAAGAGATTGGGACCATCCTGGCCAACATGATGAAACCCTGTCTCTACTAAAAATACAAAAATTAGCTGCGCGTGGTGGCATGCACCTGTAGTCCCAGCTACTCAGGAGGTTGAGGCAGAAGAATTGCTTGAACCCAGGAGATGGAGGTTGCAGTGAGCTGAGATCGCACCACCGCACTCCAGCCTGGCGATGGAGCAAGACTCCATCTCAACAACAACAACAAAAAGACCAGTGGTCGTCAGACCTTAGAAGGGAGGGAGGGATGTGTAGGTAGAGCACAGAGGAGTTTTAAGACAGTGGAAATACTCTGTATGGCACTACTACAATGGTGGCTATGTATCATTATACATTTGTCCAAACTCAAGGAATATATACACCAAGAGGAAACCCTAACGTAAGCCACCAACTTTGGGAGATAATGATGTATCAATGTAGCCTCAATGATTATAACAAATGTCCCCCTCTGGGGGGGATGTTGACAATGGAGAAGTTTGCATGTTGGGAGCATGGGTACATGGGAAATTTCTATAACTTCTGCCCAATTTTTCTGTGAATCTAAAACTACTCTGAAAAATAAAGTGCACTTAAAAAAAATAATAAAGGGGTTCAGGGCTGGGCACTGTGGCTCACACCTATAATCCCAGCACTTTGGGAGGCTGAGGCGGGAGGATCACCTGAGATTAGGAGCTTGGGACCAGCCTGGCCAACATGGGGAAACCCCGTCTCTACTAAAAATACAAAAAGCAGCCGGGTGTGGTGGCTCATGTCTGTAATCCCAGCTACTCAGGAAGCTGAGGCAGGAGAATCGCTTGAACCCAGGAGACAGAGGTTTCAGTGAACTGAGATCGCACCACTGCACTCCAGCCTGGGTGACAGAGTGAGACCGTATCTCAAAAAACAAAAAAAAGAGGTTCAGGATAAGCATGGCCCTTGATGCTACTGAAAAATAAATGATTACAGGTAAACACTGATTCTGATGCTATAATTGACACTTCACAAATATTAAAATCAAACTGTACCTGGATATTAGTGCTCTTAAACTCTTACTACTTTGGCAGAGACTGGCTTGTTGTTCATTTTAGCTTCATGCCTCTTTCCTTCCTTCTGGGTCACACTACTCTACGTTCTCAGCCTGGCTATCTTACTGGGTCCTAGTCAATGGAATGTGGAAGGGAGTGATGCATTCACGTCCAGGCCTAACCCATAAAATCCCTCCTGTCTTCCTCTACCACCTCTCTTTTCTACTGCTGGCAAGACGCAGAGGACACAGTACAGAGCTGCCAAGGCTTGGTGGGTGGGGGCCAGAGCTACAAGACAGAAGGAACCCATGCCTCAGACTCTGCAATGAACTGCTCCAGCAAGAAATAAATATCTATTGTATTGAACATAGGCTTCGGAGGTTGTTCTTTAACTCTTTAACTAGTTAAGGTTTCTAAATTTTCTCAGCTTTAATTTCTAAGACCGCATATACTGATAGATGGAGTCCACATAAACAAAAGTTATTTGGGGTCCTCAATAATTTTTAAGACACAGAGTCATAACAGAGGGCCTGAGATCACACAATTTGAGAATGACTGATGGGCACTAATGCCCTCTCACACCACCTGAAGCACTTGTACTGTCTGTCCTCACTAAGAAAGAGGGGAAGCTTGGCAGACGTGCTGGTTTGCCCCGTCTGTTTCCTACATAATCGCTGTAAGTCAGATGTTAATGCCATCTGGATATGCCCTCAAGTGCCTGCACTTGCAATGTCCCCCTGAGGGAAAGGAGAACAGGTGAAAAAGGAAGAGCCAGGGCTGGGAGGACACAGGAGGCTGCCCGCAAGGCCAGCACCCACCCAGGGCATCGCCGATGTTGTTAACAGCAATTAACTAACCTTAAAAAATTCATTACTCTGTAACTATTTGGGCAAATGTTAGAAATGTGTATTTTACAATGGTTAGTATCAAATTCCTTTTGTAGAAAAGGACAATTGGTTGGACTTTAAAACCGAATTTGACTCTTTCTGCCAGGTCATCCAAGCTACCAAAAGCCAACACCTCTTAGTAACAAGTAAAGAGGAAAAGTGTAGATATAAAAGGAAATAAAAGTTGCACCCACCCTCACCTATGCAGTGATGCAACCTAGTAAAGATGTAAATGGGCCAGGCGTGGTGACTCACGCCTGTAATCCCAGCACTTTGGGAGGCCGAGGAGGGTGGATCACGAGGTCAGGAAATCAAGACCATCCTGGCGAACATGGTAAAACCCTGTCTCTACCAAAAATGCAAAAATTAGTTGGGTGTGGTAGCAGATGCCAGTAATCCCAGATTCTTGGGAGGCTGAGGCAGAAGAATCGCTTGAATCGGGAGGTGGAGGTTGCAGTGAGCTGAGATTGTGTCACTGCACTCCAGCCTGGGTGACAAAGTAAGACTCCATCTCAAAAATAAAAAAAATAAAATAAAAAAGAAGCAAATGTCAGGAGTGGTGTGATGCATGTAGACAGACATGACTTGATTATAAGCCACAGGAGACTAGAGTTTGAGAGAAGCGCAGCCCGGGAGAAACAGCTCTAGTGAAAGAAGGTAAAAACAGCAACTAGCTCAAGGCCCCATTAACAGCCTCTTGATTTCAAAGACATTATGACCCTGCCGCCTCGTCCCACGACTCCGCTGGTCCTTCTGTGTTAACCCAGAATTTATGAACCAAGACTCGACATATTTCCAACTCAAGTCCCACATGGGAATTAGAACTCCAAGACTTACTAGTCTTCCAGTCTGCAACTAGAAAGATGCACTGTTCGTTTTCATAACATTTCCAGGGTTTCCCACTGCAGGAAGCTCCATTAGATTCAAAACAAGCAGGGTACTCTGTGCTGCTGGACACATTCTTCAGTGGAGAGTCTGGTAGAGTAAGAGTCATGACTCAGGACAGTGTTTTCAGACAGAACATGGGGGGAAGGGGATAGCCAAGCGAATAAACCACCAAAGAGATCCGAGAAGGGAGGAATCGCATCCTTAGGAATCTCAGATGTAGCCTGGAAAACACCATGTCCCCTCAAAATATTTAGTACACACTCCATAGATCTGACCTCACAGACTATCTCATCTTCACTAACTATGGTTCATCGACGTGTTGGCGTATAGACTGAGAAAGGTAAGATTTTGAGCTAAAACCAAACTATAGTCAACGTCAGCATTAGCTAGCCATTCTGAACATGAGACGGCAAGAGTGTGACTGTTACTAACCTTGTTCTGAACAAATGAACACAGGCCATTATTTAACATTATGACTAGAAGAAAAAAATGTACAATGAGACCAGTTCTGCTGTTCCTTAACTGTGCTTTATAACCATGGCCAATAAACTTTGCCTTTTCAGCCATATTTTCTGTTCTTCAGAAAGAGAGCTGTGGTCTAGATCAGCAGATCTCAAATTAAACCCCTGAGTCCCTGAGACCCTTGCAGGGAGTACTGCAATGTTCTGACTATATTCATGATAATACTAAGATATTATTCACTTATTTTACTCTCTTTCCCTTGTGAATGTAAAGTGGAGCTTTTCAGAGGCTACATGATGTGTGAGACTGTAACAGACTAAATGCACAAGTTAATATGAGAATCCAGCTGTCTTCTATTAAGACAGAAACTAAACACTTTGCAAAAGGTACAATAGCAATGCCACCCATCCCATTAAATATCTTTCTTTTGGAAAATATAGTCATTTCTATGTAAAAACATTATTAATGTTGATGTGTAATGGGTTTTGGTTATTCTGGAGAGCTAGTTACAATTTCTAAATTGTCTTGGTTTTAATTTCTAAGACAGTATGTATTGGTAGATGGAGTCCACATAAATGAAAGTTCTTTGGGGTCCTCAATAAATTTTAAAACACAGGGTGGTAACAGAGGGCCTGCGATCACACAATTTGAGAACAACTGATGGGCACTGATAATGCCCCTCACACAACCTGAGTGCTCGTACTGTTCGTCTTCACTAAGAAAGAGGGGAGGCGTGGCAGAAGTGCTGCTTTGCCCGTTCTGTTTCCTACATCATTGCTATAAGTCAGATGTTAATGCCATCCGGATATGCACTCAAGTGTCTAGACTTGCGACGTCCACCCGAGGGAAAGGAAAACAGGTGAAAAAGGGAGATCCAGGGCTGGGAGAACACAGGAGGCTGCTCGCAAGGCCAGCACCCACCCAGGGCATCGCTGGTGCTGTTACACTCCTTTCCTTGGCAGCACTGGCTCACAAAATGAAAGTGTTCTTCAGCACACACGTGGACAGCGAAGGCTGTAACATGTGTCTCCTCACTGCAGTTCTCCGCGGAGCAGGACGTATTCTGGTATGATCCGGTTGCTCTCTCTACACAAAGACAAACACAGACTGTCAGCCCCTGTAAGGAGCAGGTGTGGGGAGGGTAGGGACCCTGAATTGCAAGTGCTTCAGGCAAAGGCAGAAAATGCAACCACAGTTCAGTGCAGCTTTAAAGACACTGGAGAGGGTTTTCCGGAATAGCAATGATAATCATAATAATTCTTCCCCATCAGGTAGTTCCTTCTTTCAGTAGGAGACTATCAGAGGTGTAGGTTAAACTCCAGGCAAAAGGCTGATGGGGAGCCTGAAAATGGGTGGTCCAGGCGGGCAGCCCCTGAAGCCACTAGACAGTCCTAAGATCTGTGAAAATGATCAAGCAGACATGACAAGCCTTATGTGCAAAATGACATCCACAGTTCCTGCCTAAAAATTGAACCTGAATCCAGTCAAGCTTCTAGCCAGAGCAACCTGAGAGCCATGAGCTATTTGTACCGATTTAAATTTAAATTTTATTAATTAAAATCTAATCAAATTTAAAATTAAGTTCCTCGGTCATAGTAGCCGTATTTCAAGTGCTCAGTAGCCATATGTGACTACAGTATGGGACAGTATTACTGTAGATAATTCCATCATTGAAGAAAGTGCTACTAGATAGCACTGCTTCCCTATACAAGAAATACTGAGAACAGGAGAACAAGTTAAATGATATCCTAGGAAGCAATCAACCACAACTAGAAAAAGGGACAGCTACAGGGCAAATGACCCACTTCTCCAACAAATCAATAGAATTGAACAAAAAATGATGGAAGCTGTTATAAAACAAATTAGGCTTAACAGACCTAACAGCAAAATGCAATGTGGGGATTTTGCTTGGATCCTAATTCCACACATAGACCATGTCATGACATGTTTGAAACAACTGAGAAATGTTTAATATGTTCTGGGTATTAGAAGAAATTAAAGAATTACAGCTAACTTTCTTAGACATGATAACAGTATGTGTCTTAGTTCATTTTGTGTTACTATAACAGAATGCCATAGATTGAGTAATTTATAAAGAAAAGAAATTTATTTTTTATGATTCTAGAGTCTGGGAAGTACAATATCAAGTTCCAGCCTCTGGTGAGGACTTTCTTCTGCATCATCCCATGGCAGAAGGGCAAGAGATAGTGACAGCAAGTGAGGGAAAGAGAGGGCCAGACCCCCTTTTATCAGGAACCCACCTCCACATTAATGATGTTTATCCATTCACAAGGGTGGAGTCCTCATGGCCTAATCACCTCTTAATAAAATCACAATGGCAATTAAGTTTCAACATTAATTTTGGAGGGAATATCCAACCATAGCAGGATGATAGTTATGTTAAAAAAAAAAAGTATTATCAGAGATACATAGTGAAGTATTTATGGAGAAAATGACAAATGGCACGTACATACACACACATTATATAAATATAAATATGTATATGTATATTTATATAATGTTTACTTTAAAATACCATAACCAAAAATATTATATTAAAAAAAAACTATAGCCAAAAAATAGCAAAATGTTAATAACTGCTGACATAGGGTAGTGGTTACCTGGCAATTCGTTACACTCTTCTTCCTACTTTAAACATACATAAAGTATGTTTGAATGTGTGTATTATAAAAAAGTTAAGAGCCCTAAGTGCTCTGAGAAAGAGGTTACAGTAAGGGTTATACTCAACACACCCTGTGGGGAAGTCCTGAATGCGGAAAGAATGTTTGATCTAGAAGAGGAGGAACCACAAGGAAGAGAAAAGGAAGAATGAAAGCATCCTGAGCAGATCTGCCTGTTAATTTAACTAAGAGCTGCCCTTGCTTCTCACATCCACTTATATGTGTCTAGAATGAAGCTTTGTGATCAAGGGCAGCCATTTCCAAAACACGTCAGGGTTTCTTGTCTGCACCATCCCTGTGTTCTTGTCTGGCTCCGGGTCGTCTCAGCCACGCGTTGTTCCTCCTGGGAATCGCCTTTGTAAGTTCCCCTGCCCTTGCACGGCATGTCCCCATCTCTGCCTTTCCTCCTCCCTGGTCATCCTCTCCAGCTCCTGCCCACTGCCAATCCCAGAGGCAGAAAGGACACACACACCCAGACTCACCTAAAGAAGAGTTGGCTGAGGAACTGATGCAGCTGGTGTTGGCATGTGAGGGACATTCAGTGGCAGCGCTGCTGACACAGGACTTTCCCATGACTTACACTGCACACAGCTCAGGGATTCTGAGGAGATAAGATACCCAACGTCTGTCAGCTTCAGTAGACATTTATAGAGCATACTCTATGCTAGGAAAGGCACTGCTCCCACCTTGCAGTGAAAGACACAGATGGGGTGGCATCGCTGCCCTCTGGGGATCCCGAAATTGATGCTATGAGATGCAGCCACCCCAATTAGTTTCTCCTGCTGCTCACTATTCCCCAGTGGAAAGATCCAACCTTGAAGAACAGTACAGAGTGGCCCCATTGAAAGCAGGCTGCACAGATAGGTCCCCTGGTCCTCTCTGTCCACAATGTAACACGTGAGGCCCTCAGGGCTTTGAGAGCCAGAAGACACTGGTGAGGTGGAAAAGGGGGTCTCCATTTTAAAGAGGGGCCTGTGGCTTCTCTTACCTACAGCGGAAACCAGAAGCACTGCCATGAGACCAGCAATGAGGATGCCTTTCATGGTGCTGGAGCTGACTTCTCCCAAGGACGGGGCCGTGGAGCCTCAAGCCTAAAGAGACGCAAAGAAGGCAGCCCTAGGGCCTTGGAGGGCTGCCTGTCATCACCTGGGGGTTTTAATCACACTGTAACAAGCCCAGTACTCAGTCCATCCTTGTGGCAGAAAGAATCAAAGTCCTGAGCTGGGAGCGAAAAGCTGTGACACAGATTTCAGGCTGCCCCACACAGAAGTCCAAGTTTTCTTAATCTCAGCCTGCAGAAGCATCTACGCATGGATTTGAAACACAGCCAGGGGGCGTTTTCCCTGGAGCCAATTCAGTTGCAAAAATGTGCAGGCAGATTAATTTTTAGTTTCACTGGGGATGGGGTCCAAAAGGAAAGAGCTGGCTGGGGTCTGTGCCCCTCCCTCCCCCAGAGCACAAAGGCCCTCCTCCAGCCAGCTGTTCCCTCATTCACATTTTACACTTAGAGTTCTGTTGTTGCTGCCACCACCACCACAATAGGCAGACACCTGTTGAGCACTTACTCTGTTCCAAGCACTTTATAGGTATTAATTCATGTAATTCATCTACTGTAGCAGCAGGTACTATAATTAGCATCCCAAGAAAAACGAAGCCTTTGAAGGGTTGGGTAATGCACTCAAAGTCGAGGTCTTACTTCTGGGAGGTATCAGAACTGGAGTTTCGCGTCTGTCCCTAACCACCAGCGCACAGGGCCCTCCACTACTCCCAGGGTCCTCGGCCTGGACATGCTCAACCTGCAGCACTAAATCAGAGTCCCCCATGCACTTCCGAGTCCTGCGTCACCAAGCTCTCAGCACCCTGCGTTCCCTGCCTGCAGATTGTCTGAGTTATAGACCTTTGAGGATTGCTAAGGTTTGGTTGTATTCGTGAGAATTCTGAATTAGAACTCCCAGAATTTCAACTTGCTTGTGCGTCAAAGCAGCACAGAGGGCAGGTGTCTGGCTCTGCCCTGAGCGCTTCTTAATCATTATCTCATCTACCCTATAAACAGTTGCCATGAGCCACACATGGCTATTTATGACTCTTCCAGGTTAGATAAAGTGAAGCGTTCTGTTTCTCAGTAGCACTGGCCACATTCCAAATGCTAAGAGGCCACACGTGGCTGGTGGCTGCTATATTGGCCACTGCAGGCACAGGACATTTCCATCATTGCAGAGAGGCGCATTGGACAGTACTGTGTGACAGAGGCTATCACCCCACTCCACAGGTGCGAAAACTGCAGCGTGGAGGGATAACAAAGTGACCCAACTCGCTCAGCTTACAAGGGCCTAAGTCAGCGCTCTATTCTAGGGCCTCCCAGCTCCAAAGGCTAGCTGCACCACAAGAGCTGCTACTGACTGAGACAGAATAGCCTTCAACAGGAAGTCCCTACTCCCACCTCAACACAGACGCACATCACACCACACACACACACACACCACAACCCATACATCACACACACCACACCCCATACATCACACACACCACACACATCACACACAGACCACATCACG